GGGGGGGGGGGGGAAGAGTTCTTACCTCTGTCGCCGGGTCTTGTTCTGGCTGTACCCCTGCTTCAGCCAAGCGACAGATAAATGTAAAAGCCGTTCACCCCAAATCTTTTACTTTCTTTCAAAAGCGACACAGCCAAAATCATTCTGGAAACATGGGGTTTTCAGAGGTGGAAAGAATTAACCTTTGCAATTTTTAAAAAAAATACAGCTTTTCTTCCCTACGGCCGTGACAAAACAGGCAGCATTCTCTCGGCACTGGAATTGAAAATATTGCAGTTGGAAACATTGAAAGTTTCAGACTGAACAATTCTGGAAGCGTTTGCTGTTTTCCTAGCGTCGCTTATTCCAACATTCACAGCCCACTGGCTGCTTTCCCTTCGGTCTTGTTTTGGAAAAGCCCGTGACTCTGCTTTTCCTCTCTGTCCGGGACAGAATGAACTTTCTTAAGAATCCATGGTGTGGCATTTTATTTTATTTTGCCATTACAGGGCAATGTTTGGGGAGGTTTGTTAGGCTGCTTTAAATAACTTGATTCGTCGTCACCATGTGCAGTTCTGGAGAACCCTGTCATGGCACAATAATTCTGCCATGCCTTCCCCCCACCCCCCCACCCCCGGTGGCCCATAGCTACACGACCCGCCGTCTCCTCCATGGCCGTGGGTCAGGTGAGCACAAAAGCAGAGTTGTGGCTTGCAGGAGGAGAGGGCGTTCTGGGGCAGGAACACCGAGAACCTTAGCAGGCGAAGGGCTGCCAAAGGCAAAAAAAGAATTTTTTTAAAAAGGAAAAGTTGATAAATGGGCCTCGTGTACAAGAACACGACAAGCTGCACACCGTGTCCTTGGTTTCCCCTCCTGGTTTCAGTTCCTGTGCTTATCGGAGTTCACCACAGGGACCAAGAGGGAGATAGAGAGAGCGGTTGATGGGGGGAATTTGCACAGGCTTTTCTAAAAGTCCGGCCAGTGCTTGGCAGTGCTGAGCGAAAGCTTTCACCGTTATCCAGAACACTTTTGGCACCGAGGGGAAAAGGGTGGCTTGTTCTTTCTGCGATGGAGAGCACCAGGCTGTTCCTCTGGAGAGGGCGGAGGGTGGATACTCAGCCCTTGGGAAGCTGGGGAACAGTTTTTTTGGGGGGGAAAGGAGTTGCCCCCCCCTTTGGTTTCGTCTCCGGCATTTCACAGGTGATCGTGGTGCACGTGTTTGTGGGGCATTCTCACAACAGCCGGTTCTCCCTCTTCTTCCCAAATCCGTGCATCCCAGTGCAAGCGGTGCTTCCGCTCCACAGCCACACGCTGTTTGGAAGCTGGCCTCTGTTTTGCGAACGACACACCTTTCCTCCCCCTGTTGAGTTGTCGTTCTTTTGTGCTGTCAGCGGCATCTGGAAAACAAGAGGTGAGGAGCCCGGCTTTTAACTGGGCCAACTTCCTGGAAGGCAGAAGGAAAAAATAAAAAACAAAAAAACAGGCCAAAAGGGTGGCACGTGGCTATGCCAACGGGTCCTTGCCGGATCGTCACCCAGACTCTCGGCGCTGCTGTTGCCAAACAGGAAAAGCCAGTGGCCTTTCTAGAAGCCCGCAAGGGCAAGCCGCTCCGAGCCCTTGGCCAGTATAACCGGTGCCTTTCACTTTGGACTGCCACCCCCATGGCTGGCTTCGCTGGCAAAGGCTGGCCAGGATGACAAAACAACAACAACAATGGGAGTCATCAGATATTTCACTGAGAAATATTTTGCCCACCAGAAAAAAAAACCACAGACAAACCCCAACTGGTCCCTGGTCTGTGTTGTGCCATGTCACGGGGAGGCATCATTTTGTGATTCGCCTTGATAGTTTGGTACTGAACGACCGCATGAATGGACTTTTCTGCCTCTCTTGCTCCTGGTTTTGGGCTGTCCTCTTCTGAGCGCCAGCCCGAAGCTGCTGCTGGACTACAAACTCCATGGTTCCTCACCAGGGCAGAGAGGGAGATACAGAAACTCCCTTGGCGGCTGCCCGCAGGCGAAGAAGCTGATCTTGCTCCTCCGATCTTTTCTCTCTCAGACCCTGGAGAGAAGCAGCTTTGGTCTCCTCTGGCAGGTCCTTTCCCTTCAAAGGCCGTTTTAATCCAGTGTTTATCATCAGGATTGCTTGGAAAACCACCAACACTACTCATTTTTAACATCCACGGCGTGTGAGAGAGAAGGTTGCCCAGAAAAGAAGGGAGCCGCAGCTTGAGCAGAACACCCTATTTTCCCCTTGCCCTCCCCCCACCGCCTGCCTTCTGCTTGCAAATGATACGGTCTTGGTTTGGGGGGGGGGGAGAGAGAGAGAGAGGCGGTTTCTTCCCCTTTTTACCCCTTGAAGGACGAGGGGGCTAAACTCGGTCTCTGCCCCACTCCGTTCCAGCCAGAGAACGAAAGAGAATCCCAAGATGGTTCTCGTGTGTGGTGGGGCTGTGTGTGGGGGGTACCCTTGCTACGCATATGACCCATTTCCTGCTGGGGGAAGCCAGCATTTAAGTCTTGAAGGCCTCCCTTCTCCAGGGACACACACTCAAACCTTCATAGGGAGGTGCTTTGGCCTTCCAGGTAGCCTGCAAAGCCTTCCCCCGCCCGCCCCGCGCTACCCTTTAACCCTATTTTGCAAAGCCACTCCAGTTCCCACCATCCTGGCTACCACCCTGTGTGTGTGTGTGTGTTGGGGTGTTGTAGTCCCAAGCAGGAACCTAAGGAGGGTTTGTTTTGCCCAACTGATCCTTGTTTGCCAAGAGCTCTTTCTCCGTCCAGTTTGCTCAGCCTTCTTCAGCAAACAAGCCCCCCCGGTTCCAGCCCTCTGCGTGGCTCTCTTAGGGGGGAACCCCCCCAAATGGTTTTTCCCCTTACTGGAGAAGCCGGGTCCAAGCAGATCAGGTTGAGATGCCTCCTTCAGCTGGGCACCAGGGGTGGCAGAAAAGACGGCGTTTGGAAAAAAGGTAGACCAAGAAGGCCCCCTTGCGCTCGTGACCCCATAGCTGTGGGGTGGGAAGGAACCCTTTCCTGTGAGCTAGTGGAAAGGACAAAGGTCTTGCCATGTCTGCGTGTTTTCCTTTCAAACTGAAGCAACCCGTTCCACCCTTGGCCGAATCTGCACGCAGTCCAAATGTTCCATCGGGGTGTGTGTGTGCATGCGCATGTGTGCGTGCTAGAAGGCCCTTTCCAGATTGGGGGAGGGGATGATGCTTGGCTGGAAATGAGGGGCTCCTGAATCGGGAGCGGTCCCACCTGTAAAAGACCCGTAACATCCCGTCTGGACATTTGCAGTTCAGGATGGAGGGGTCAAAGGGGAGCTGCCACAGCATTGGGTCCTTCCCGAGCCAAGTGGCAAGAGTCTAGAGCACTGTTCAGAGTGGCCAACCAAGGCCCTCCACTCCAACCCACCCCTCTCCAAAGATCAGCCCCCCCACCCCACCGAGCCTGAGGCTGCAGACCGCTTCAATTGCAATTTTGCACTTGGGCACGGACAGTTGGGTGCAAATTGATGTTGGTTGGTTGGTTTTTCCCATCAGGGCCAAGGGGCAACCCCTGCTCATTACAGAATGAAGGTTTGCATGCATGCCTTCATGGATGCTGACCTTCTCTGGGGCCCCTCCGTGTTCGTCACCTCCTTATTCCGACCACACACTTTCGTGGGCTGGCTAAGGAAGAAACAGAAATCGCTCGGCTCATCCTTTTACGCTGCGGAGCTGCACCAAGGTGGAAACTCCCCCGCCCTCCACCCGCCCATCATGGGCTTCCCTGGCCCGTGTGGGACATGCTTTGGTGGGGGGAACACTGCCACACACAGGCGCCCTTAACCTCCCACTGCCGCCGCCCCCTCCCAAGATGTGGGTAAGTGCATGGGTAACTGGGGCATGTGAGTGAAGAGGGGGGTTTCCCTGCAGTCCAGAAGAAAGGTCAGGAGGGGAGTTGGGACACAGAAGCAATCTGGCTGCACTGGCGTGAGCATTTGTGAAAATGAAAGAGCTTAGCTTGGAGGAGTCCCCCCCCGCCCCTTGAGCCCACCCCATAGGGCCTAGCCGTCTTTCTGCACATCAGAAGCTCCCACAGGAGAAGGAGGCATCCTAAGCAAAACCCTGCCCCATACGGCACCCCCAGTTCCTCCTCAGAGGAACCAAACCTGGCCTTCTGCATGTAGAGCTTTGCAGAAAGCCAACCACCACCCCTGGGGTTGGGATCCGCTGAGCCAGCAGCAGCAAGAGGAGGAACCCAGGCAATTAGCTCCCACACTGTAGCTTGGCGTGCTGTTTTTTGTGCAGCTCGCTTTCTCCACCCCGAAACCAGGCACAGCCGTATTGTGTGTGTGTGTGTGTGGCGGGGGAAGAAAAGCCTGGCACATGAAAGGGAAGGAGCTGGCTGGAGAAGAAAGAAAGAGACACACAGACACAATGGAGGGTGTTGCAAAGGTTAGCCTACTTCAAATCCCTGGTGTTCCTTTGGAGAAGGGAAGGTCTTGTGCCAAGGAAAGCAGGAGAGTTTAAGCCATCCATTTGCCAAAAACCTTTTGAAGCTTCCCTCCACCTGAATCCCAGGGAAGCTTCTCTCAGTCTTTTGGGTGGCCCAAGAACTTTCCTGCTTCTGCCACAGCCCACTAACAGGCTCCTTAACCCCCCAACTGCCCCGGTAACCTAGTTTGGAAACGGAATATTACTAAATTTTGACTTTTGTTTGAGTAGAATCAGAGGGCAAGCCTCTGTGGCCAAACTCTCCCGTCCAAAACCATCTCTCTCTCTCTCTCTTTGCCCTATAAAAACTTGGAGGAGGTGGAGTCAACACACTTCTGTTGCTCTAAACCCACAAAAACTCTGTGCAGGCTTATTTCAACGGAAATTCGTTGGTATCAAGGCCCCTCGGCCCAGTTTTCTCTTTTCACCTTCCAACCACCAGACTCGGCTGCAAATACCGAGTCTTCCCTTTAAGCAGACAGACCTGAGAAAACAGCTCGTGTTTTACTTTCAGAATATAATTTTCTTTATTGCCATTTCCAAAACAAGTATAAGAATATAGTTGAGTCTCTATTTTTTTTTTCAGAGTGCAAGAAAAAGAGAAAATATTTGCATGTCAGGCTGCGTGTGGTTTTATCCGGAGAAATGGCATCTTCAAATGCAACCCAGCCAGTTTTTTTTAAAAGTCTGTTTGCTACTGTCTTTTGTTAAGTCCATCTGTCCTTTCTTTTCTTCCCTCTTGCTCTTGGCATAAGACAACGGACTCTGGAGAGTTCTCTCTCCTCCAGTTCAGAGTCTCCTTTGGCCAGAGGGACACCACTCCCTGGCTTCCTCCACCGTCTGTTCTCTCCTTGCTTGGCCTCCCGTGAGACACGCGTGCAAGGCATCCGGAGAAAAGACAGCCGGGGAGCTAATCTTGCGGTTTTGGTGAAGCCACGGAAAAGTACACCTCTCTGGCTGTGCCATGTCCCCCACGTGGCATGAGGAGCCCCCTCCAGCCTGCAGGCCCCTTCTTTCCGGCCTGCCCTGGCAACCTCTCCAGTCTTCTCTCCCGGCAGTCAGCTGATGCAGCCACCACCGGCTTCAGCCTCCTCCTCCTCCTGCAGCATCCGGACCTTCATGTGTTCACCTCCCATTCCACTGAGTCATCCGACGCTGACACCACCACACTCTCGTTCTGACGGGATCGGTGTTCTTTAATTTTCCCCCCCTCGGTTTAAAAAACACAAAAACACCACACATATCGAACATTCCCCTTTTCAAGCCGCCTTCTTTTGTTTGTTCCACTTTGGTGAAAAAAAACAAGGAAGCGGGGGCCGGGCGCCTCAGCGCGCCTGCAGCGCTACGTAAGGGACCCACTGGTTGTTTCCTCGGCTTTCTTCGCAGTAACTGGCGACTTCGGCCAGACCTTGGCTTTTCCAGCAGTCAGTGTGCGGGTTCTGTCGGGGAGAAAAGAGAAGAACACCAAGATGAAACAGCAGTCTGGAGAAAAACCGAAACACAGAGCTCTAGTTCGCTTCCCCACTCCTGGGGCACCTTCTCTTTAACCTACATTTAAATCCGATCAAAAAAACAAACAAAAACCCAGCTATGTGTAGGTGCAGATTTCAGGCAGGCTGCAGAAACCAGCACAATCTGAGAATGACATCTCAGGAATTTCGCCACCTCCTCCCTCGGGAACTCGGAAGGACATTCCGATCTGCAGCCGTCAGCCAGTCCACCTCCCCTGAGAAACCCTCTATTAGCTGGGCAGCGACTCACTGGGGCTTCTTCCGAATCCACCGGCAGCGCCCCACCCCAAACAAAACACCCCACCCTTCCACCTCGGCAGCCCTCTCTCCCCACTCTGGCTGGTTTCTCGCCTCCAGCCCCTTCCGCTTTCCAAGAGACTCTGAGCCAAGACTGCCATGGGGATGTTTGTGTGTTTGTGTCCCCAGCTGGGCCAGATGTGAGAGACACTCAGAGCACCCCCAAGTCCACGTGCCGGGCAGCTGACTCACCGTCACGAGGAGGCAGTGCAGGTCCCGAGGCTCGGCGTTGGTGTTGGGGGTGCCGGCCGGCGTGTCCCCCTCCAGCAGGGCGGCCAGGCGCTCCATGCCGGACACCCTTAAGATGTTGATGTCGTTGTCGCAGCAGAAAGCCTGGATGAGCGTGAAGTGGATCTGGAGAGCAATTTCTTCCGCTTCCTCCTCCTCGTCCACCGCCAGGAGGCACAGGACCACGCTGTCTGGATCCCTGGGGGAGAGAGAGAGACAAGCTGGTGGTAAGGCCCCCTGCTTGGAATCGCATGCCCTACTTTCCTTCTCCTCTGGCCAGACCCCCAAACCCACCATCACCAGGTAGACCACTCCCCACCCTGGCAAAAAATGGCTCCCCAAAACTGGAAGTCCTGATACCAACCACCGGCCCTCCCTCTTTGCTCCCTTTTAAGGGCAGATCCAGCAGGCGTTGCTTTTGAAAGCCAAACACACACACACAGATGAAGCATCAAAATCTCTCCAAGGTAAACAACCACCCCTTCTTTGTCTGTCTGTCTGTCTCTGGGATGGAGAAGAATCATCACCAATGTTTCACCGCCCGGGACAGCGTAAACCAAAATAACGTGGTCAGTCAAAGCAAAGACCCAATGAGAGCTACTGAGGCTCCCCGGGGATGTTCAGATGGGTCTGCCAAGGGCCCACCCCACCCCATCAGCCCCCCCACCCTGTTCCTTCGGGCAACCCCAGAGTAGAAATGCCAATACTTACACATTCATGAGTTTGGCCGATTCGTAGACCCCGACAGTCAGGCAGCCCTGCCTCTGGGCCGCCACCAAGAGTTGCTCCACAGCTTCGCAGACGGATTTCATTCTTTTGGAGGAAACAAGAAAGAGAGCAGAGTGAGAATCGTTTGCAAAAAAGCACGCCTCTTGTTGCTGGAAAGGAAGGTCTTCCAGGAAGGAAGGAGGCCAGGGGAGCAACCCCATGATGGCCAAGAGAGAGAGGAGGCACTTACTTCTTCTCGGTATTGTCGCAAGGGACCAACTCCTCCAAGGTCATGTTGCAATTATAATCCACAGTGGCGTAAAAACAAGGCAGTAAAATCCTGAAGCACAGCCACAGAGAGACTCCGTTTTCTTCCAAGGAAGGATCCCAAACCGGGAAGGCAGTCAATATATAGAGACCAACAAGATATAAAATGAAATATCCGTGCAAATAGTCCCGAAGCAAGGCGAGCTCCCCAGAAAAATAAGCGATGCAACTCAAAAACTGGTCGCAAAACGAGCCCGACGCGAACGCAGACTTGCCGCCGAAGCTCCAGCTGGTGTTTAAGCCTCCGACGTCCGCTGACAGCGCCTTTTATGGTTTTCGGCGAGGGGGCGCGGCCTCAGGACCCTTCTGCCTCGTCCCCATTGGCCCGCGTGGCACAAAGGAAGTCTCGGGAGGACTCCTGATTGGTCATCAGGCTTTGGCGGATGTGGATGTGTGTGGGGAGGGGGGGAAGCCACGTGGGGCGGCGGTGGGCGGGGATGAGGAAGGAGGCTTGCGCAATCCGGGTGGCTGGATGGATGCATGTTTTCTTGGAAGGGGAAAATTTAAAAAGGAAAAAAAAAATACGAAGTTTCGGTTGGTTCTTCCCAGCAGTCGGGGCTTCTTGTCATAGAACCGGAATGTGATTTCCCAGGAAAAACAGAACTAGGCTGGGCTTTTCTGGCTGGGGCGCCTCTGGGTGATTCTTTTTAAAATTTTTCTTTATTATTGTTTTCCTGCGAAAACAAGAGTTTCTCTGAACTGAGGAATAGAGAAAACGTTGATCCGTTAAAGGTGGAGGCTTTTTAAAAAAATTCTTTTTAGTTATTAAAAAAATAAATTTTGGGGGGAGATTAAAAAAAAGTCAGAAGCCCTCCTGGCTACTTCCAAACCAGACAACCCCCCTTTTTTTCCGGAGGGGGTGCAAACCTATTTTTCCTGTGCAAGCGAGCTTTGCAGGAAGAAAGCCCCCCCCCAGATGCCACGGAGAGGCCAATATGGGTGGAGAGGGCGAAGTGATTTTTCTTCCCTCCCATCCCATCCTGGGTGTGTGTGTGTCAGGTAGCAAATTAGTATAGAAGGAAGGGGCTCCTCTCCCCCCCCCCCTTTCTCGTCTGTCCGGCTTTTGCAACACGCCCCAGAACAAGGCGGTTTGCAAAAAGTTGAAACTGTAAGGTTGA